ATTCTCAGGAGAAAAAGGAAATTTCTATATATTTAAATTTTGACTAATTATTGGTTTCAAATATATATGAAATATTTTGGCACAAAAATTACAACAAATAGTCTTCAGCCTTTTCTCAAGAGGTTCAAGGTTAAATTTATTTTAAATTGATTTTCTCCTAATTTCGAATCAAACTGAATTTCACTAATTAATAGTAACTAATAGATATAGCGCAATCAGTTGATATTTTCTGTAAATATAATTAATATTGTTATAAATGTGTCTTTTGAGTAAACTGAAGATAAATGTTTAATATTCTTTACTACCGATATTTTTTCAATATAAATTCTTAAAATTTTATTATCTTATGCTTTACTATCTGACATCCACACATTTTTGAGTCTAAAAATTTAAACTATAAACTGGAATTTCTCTTTTGTTAAATTTAAAAATTTAAACTATAAACTGGAATTTCTCTTTTGTTAAATTTAAAAATTTAAATCATTATTTTATTTAAAATCAGCTTCAGCAAATTCACTTTCAGCAAAAGTTCAAAACCATTAAAAAATTATGTTTCAGAACTATTGTATTTTTCTATATTTTGAAGCTTTGAATTTTTACATAGTTTACGTAAAAATGTCATAGAAAGGTATTATAGGTCAACTTAGTTCTTCCTTAATTTCCTTTATAGAGCAATGAATTACAATATAATAAAAAAAAAATTCAGTAGCGTCTATAGATAATGTCGATACAATTTTACTATATTCATTACTATATTTACACAACAAACAGTATATGCATGAGATATATGGAAATTAAACAAGAATTTTTAATTTATTTATTTATTTATTTGTTGTTGTTGTTGCTTATGCTCAAACATGACGTAGTCAGCCCAAGCCCACGAAAATCCTCGTGGCAAGTAGCTCTAGATTACGCTTAACAGGACATAGTGCGATTCGGCTCAGTTGCGTCCCCCAATTTTGATGTAGAACATCCCGGGGGGGGACGGGTCGGAGGGTCTCCCACCCCTCTCCTCTTCCACCAAACCACACGAGAGGACTTTCGGCTAACCGCATATTTGGAGTGCTGCCATGCCGCACCGACACTATACAATTACAAACATCTATCCCTTCTCTGGGATTCAGACCCGGACCCTTCCACACGGCAATCATCGACGCTAACCGCTATACCGGTTGGGCGGCATCTTTATTTGTAATCTACTATATTTGTTTAAAGATGCATAGAAAAAAAGACATTGAAAGATATGTCAGATAATACACATTTAATCCCGTCAGATAATACTTTACTATTTGAAGGTTGTATGTTAAAAAAACATATATATTTGAGAGTATTGCATAAATCAAGAAATAGACGCAGATAAAAATTAAAATACAAATATGAATACTTTATAGCACATAATATGTTTTTATTTATTTCATAATTAATAAGACAGAAGAATCTTAACTCTTTACATGTGTGTATTCTTGTTTGCCTTTTTACTTTAATTAAGTGATTAAGCACTTAAATTTTTTCATAGTTATTATGTTTCGAATTCGAACCTCGGAAAAAAGGCCAGTCAAAAGCGTGTCTCTTTTGTATATTATGCTAGCAAGTAATAATTATCTAAGGAAATTCTTTAAAGACAGCCAGCCTTTTTACTTCCTTGTACGAAGTAAAAAGGAAGTATTGTAATCGCGAAAAACTTCAGGCAGCATATTTCAACGAAAATATCCACTTTCACCGCTTTCGAATGCAATTTAACGATGTTTTTGCGTGATATCTGTACGTAAGGACAGAATAAAAGACTCTTTTCCTCCAAAAACAAACTAAAAAACTGCTTTAAAATGAATTCTGAAGAGAATTTTTCGTGGCGTCTGTACGAACGTACGTACGTACGTACGTATCTCGCATAACTCAAAAACGAGTAGCCGCAGAACGTTGAAATTTTGTATATAAGACTACTATAACATGTAGATGTGCACCTCGTATTTTGGTTTCAATCGGCCGCGCCAAACGTATAAAAATATATTTATAAATATATCCACTCTGTTACCCGGCTCAGTAATCTCAGTTTCTTTACTCTTATATGTTTGTAAATTGTACATTTTTTGCTTTAAAAATGATTGAATTATGTTGTTTTTTATCTTCCGGTTAAGGGTTTTTATGCCTTTAGTAAATCTGTATGCAATATGTTTAGAATTATCAACAATTTTTAAAATTGTTAAGTACAGAGCTCTAAGCCTAATTTGATGGCGGCCATTGCTCTGTTTACATTTGAAACAGATGAGCAGCGGATTTGTTGCCAATCTAGAGAAACTTAGCTTCGCAACAACAAAGATAACGCCTTTATTTTTTATTTAAATCATGCTTAATCCTTTCTGGAACTTTTTCGCGGAAATAAGCGTTTAAGATTTACTTCGTAATTTTTAATACAGATATTTTGAAATTTTGAATTTTTATGTATTTTTGCCTTATTGCGAAGTGAAAACTGAATTAATTGAATGAGAAATACTCAGTCGTCAGTGAAAAACATTTTCTTTTTGTTTTGTTTGCTTAATTTCTTTAATGCATAGTTCTAGCTTTATTATAGTATTTGAATAGAACATGTGGCAACGATTAGATAATTCTTTAAATGATATAAATTTTGTGCATTCTGAGTTATAATATGAATGAAATAATACTGTTAAGTAAACCTAGCGCCAGAGCGTCGCTATGGTAAAAAGTGAATTTTAAAGAATGCATTTATTCTATGTGGTTTATGCGCTGTCGGCGAAGTAGGTTTAATTCAATCTAATAAGGTTAAATGAAATGCAAGAAAAAATGCGTATAATTTAATATTCCGTACAAGGAAGTCATGTGGTGTACACATCAGATTTTTTTCTTTTTATAAGGCAAGTAACTGTCTAATACTAAATGCAAAACATTTAACTAAATTTTAAACTTTTTCTTTTTTGTAATTAGATTTATACCTTCTTATTATTACCCAAATCTCATAAATATCTATTACTCACACGCATACTCTCTCTTTTGCACACGCACACATACACACACACACACACACATAGGGAAATTTCAAAAATGTCGTTGAAAGGATTAACAAGAAAGTATGCTTGGAAGTATTTCAAGTGATAATATACCACAAAACGCGAGTGGTAATTAGCATTTGTAAATGTTCGGAAGTTTTACCCTTTAAATCAAAGTCGCCGAAAAGCTCTGTTCCTAATGTTGACGCCCACCAGCGGCCGAGCGGTAAAGTCGCTGAACACTGGTAGTTCGGTCCGAGGTTCAAATCCCCGCGAACAGGCTGACTGCATGGGCGTTTTCGTGGTTTTCCCCATGTGTAACGCGTATACGAGCCTGTTTCCCTTAGAAAGTCCTCCACGAAGGCATCCCTACTCTTAGGCAGATAGCCCCTCGTGTGCTTTGCCGTAATTAAATAAACCAAACCAAACCTAATGTTGAGAATGGTATTGGAGTGGAATTCTCAAGCCATGAAAAGAATTTGCAAAACACAAAAGTATTTTATGCAAGCATTATACTTATACTTTTAAGTAGAGAAAAATAGTATTTCCATAAAGACAGATAATTCATTTTTTTTATATTTAAAGAAAGACATAAATTTAATGCACATATTTTTTAATTCAAACTTTCGAATTAAATATAATAATAGTTAGTTAACATGAAAATAATGTTTGTAAGAACAGATGCTGGCGAAACATGCCATTCTGAAATTTTAACTGGGCAAAATTTAAAATCTCAGTTAATGCTTGAACTGTTTTTAAAATAACCTGATTCAGTGGAAAATCAGTATATAACTAGTTAAGTTTTAAAAAGTGTTCTTTTTATGAAATTTAATTTGTTTTAAATTTCCTGATGATGAAACCGTAAATAATAAATAAAATAAAATCTGAAAGGATTCAGATTTTAACCGTCGTTTCAGAGGATTTCTTTGAAGACTATTAACCGTAGCATATCAGTCTGCCCTTAAACACACTCGTCACACAATAGTTTTTGTTTTTTTAACATTATTATTAAATATCACTTCTTCGCACCTACGTCATATAAAACTGAAAAGTAAAATCTCAAAATTTTTGAAAGTATATTTTTAGAATTCCCGATAAAGTGTTAAAAAATATTGCCATCTATTTTTTTCGGTCTCTTCTGGGTTCATCATATCAGGTTTCGTAATAAGATGATTCATACACTTTTTTTTTTTTTTTTTTTGTCTTTTTAACTTTATTTATCGCGCTCATCGCTTTAATCGCTCTTACGCGACACACACTTGAGCAGCAAAATCAAAATTTTCAAAGCAGCATATCTTTAGAATTTTCTAAAGAGTATTAAGGGTTGGCAAATATCTTTTTTTAAATTAGATATACTATTTTTAAAAGTTTTTATGTTCATTATAACATTTCTTTAACTATAGTACCTGGCGATAACATTTGGTAGCAGCATACTTATGTGATATGGACACAAAAGTGATATAGACATAAAATTGAGGGTCGAGATTAATAGCTCATCTGGTGCTAATAATTATTTCGTAATTTTTTAATGACATTCTAGAATGACATTCTAGAAGTGAGATCTAGGAATGGGCGATACAGATTGGTATTAACAGTATGAGTAAATGTTAGGTAAACGTGCGTGTTCCCAAATGAGAACATAGCTGAAGAACTTGAATGTAATTTTTTCCACCATAATAATTATATTTATCTTACACTACAGTAAAACAAGGAAACTGTAAAAATAATAAGTTATTAATTGTAAATGAATATGACAAATAAATTGTTTATTTTAGAGAAATACCGTATACATTTCGGAAGTCTATTGGAAAGGTCTTTAACCTTCAAGCAGCAAAAATGTATCTAACATTTGAAGGAAGAAATGTATACTATATTTGGAGAATAATATTGTTCTAATATGAATATTGATTAATTATAAAAGCACTAAACATAATTTGGAAAGCTGAAATTAACTGCACATTAAACAAGATACACATATAGAATACAAAAATTGCTTACCACATAACAGAGTCAGCATGTCAGCGACTGCTAAATTAAACAGATAGCAATTTGTGGCAGTCTGCATGTAAGGATTGCCGGCGATAACAAGACATGTGCATGCGTTTCCTATCAAACCGGTGCTAAAAATCACTGCATACACAGAAGTCAGAGGTAGGAGCCAATTTAGTGCAAGTCTTCTTGGCCCTAACACAGAAGCAATGAAATCGTCTACATCCAACATCCCATGGGTTGAGTTCCTCCAGTTCGTGAAATTCATATTTATATTTTATTTTTTAAACAAATATTGTAATTGTTATGTGTGATTGTAACTATTACTTCGTCGACATAAAATGATATGATCTTCTCGTAATTTAACATAAAATCCTTAAGTAAATATTCGAAAAGAAAGTACTTTTTAAAGTTCTTACATAATGATTTTTATATTTGCTTAAAAACTAATTTCATGCGAGTTGAGTAAAGAAAATTTATACAGACGAGTAAGATTTGGGGCGGTAACTAATAGAAAATGTATTTGAAAACAGCAATTAATAATATTTTAGTGTTACAATGATAGGTTATTTAAATGTAGGGAAAAATACTTGTATTAATTACTTTTACTCTTGTACGTTATTTAAAGCGTGCCTCTATCAATTACATATTCGAAAATTTCATCACAGGTGACATTATACTTTAACTGTATCAACTATCTTCCATCATTTTTTCAGTATCTTGTTAATTAGTATTCACATTTTATTATCTTATAAAGACATTAAACCAAATCTTTAAATAAGTTTCCTTCAAGTTTATACTTTTAGAATATTCTGCTTGAAATTTCCGAAACGTCTAGTTTTCTGCAGCTATTTATTTTAAATTAAAAAATTTAATCCATTATTTATAAAGAGTTATTTACTAGAAACCTAAAAAATTATTGAACTCTTTTCCAATTTACTGGCAACTTAATTTACTTTGGCTTAACTATCAAAATATTAAAATTGCTATTCAATTTGTCCACATAAAATCCTATCTTGAAGATGAAATAACTCCCTTTCTAGCAGCAAAGAAGTGAATATTTAAAGAAAAGTTGCAGGAGAGTAAAAATTAATTGAAATGATGAAAGAAATCCATTAAATAGCGAAGCAACACAGAAAAACTAATGCTTTCTATTCTAAAGCAATGCTTCCCATCCGCTGTGGTAGCACAGAAGCGAAGTAAGATGTAGTACAAGTGCTGTAGTATTTCAAATCGGGCTCACTGTAGGACTGCTAAATCTATTCAGAGAGCAAAAGCAGAAAATATCGCCAAATTCTTCGCCAAATACCAAAGTTCGTGTAAGAAACGTGAGTTATAGAAAACGTTTAGATAAATGGAAATAATTCTCTTTCTCAGCATCTCATTTACAGTTACGTTAAAACAAGTATTTAAGACGCATATAAATATTTAAAACTTAATTATTTGAAATAATAAAAAAATTATTTTAGCATACAAAATGTTACATTGATTTCGAGTGTCTTAAAAGTCCTCATCAAAATATATTTAAGATTATCTGGAATCCACAAATCAATAATTTTATTTGTTGTTAGAGCTTTTTATCAAAACGTATTCAATTAATCTTTAAAATTATTATTTTTTATTGAATGCATTAAAGTACGCTAAATAAAATTGATTAACGTTTGTTAAGTTATGTTATTATTCATTAAAATATAATAAAGATTTTAAGATCTCTAAATATTACCAATCTAAATTTAGAACCAATGAAGATTTTTTAAAATTCTAGCACCTTTCCTTGTATACCAAGCGCATTATATTAAAAAGATGTAATATATATACATAGCGTGGCATATTCTATGAAATTTCCTTAATCATTTAAGCTTTAGTAAATGCTCTGTGCAAAGCGAGAAAGGTACCAGTGTTTGTCAAAAATCATTTCGTAGGTTGGATGGTATGCTTTTGAGATTTTTCTGAATAACTTGGATATAATAAAATATCGACATTTTTGAGACTTCAACAACTGATATATTCAAAGAAGGAAAAAGCTTTGTATGTTTTCATTCATGAAAAACATATACATATTTGTTATGATTTCATTTGGATGCAAAATAATTCTAAAAAACTACGAGTGAAGTTATAATGTGTAAGATATCATTTTTGATGTAGTAAATAGAAAGCAATAAATTTGAAATAACAAAAAGAATTGGTGATGAATGTTCAAAGGTTTGTTTATCGATATGTAAAAATAAATAAAATCAATAATTTGCCTTAGAATATTCTTCTAGACTCTACTATTACATCCAGGAAAATAGCTATACGAGCATTTCAGCCTCAATATACATAAATTATGTTTAAAAAATGTAATTTCAAGCTGAGTGGTTTTCCTTTTGGATTAAATTACGCTGAGTGAATATAGTTTGTGCTGCTAACAGATATAAATCTAACATCTTGAGGAATGTTCTCGCGGTATTATATGCTGGTAAATAAAAAAAAAAAAAAAAAAAAAATCCCAAGTATGTCGGCAATGATAAAATAATAATAATATGTCATGCTATGTTCTCACGACATCATACGTTTTTAACAAATTTGAAAAGTTTGGAATTTTCCAGAACAAAAGTATATCAATTGACGTTAAGATTCTAAGAATTGATTCTTGATTTCTAAGGAGGTGATTTCGTGTTATGGGGTCCCTGAATGATGAATAGAGACAGCGTTGAAGAGGTAATTTACAATTTAATTTTTTTTAAATTGATTTACAACGTTACTATTAAAATTATAATAGTTCAGTAGCAAAATTTAAACTGAAAGTGATATAATAAAACTGAACATTTCTATTACTTTGTTATTTTAATTTTATATGAATCAGGTTTCTTTCTCCAGAATAACTCACTGTTCCCAAAAATGCGACTGATATTATTTTCCTGAATTTTGCAACAAAGTATTACTATATTATAAGTCAGCTTATTATTCTAGAAAATTTGATATAGGTAATTATAAATAAATGTAATTTATATAGTTTTTTTTTTTGTATCTGCTGGGTAGCCCATATGTTTCTATTATTATCCATTTGAACGATATAAAAGTGCGGAGAGTCATAAGGTACAGTAGGAATCTGCCTTTTTTTAAGCTTGACAGGCTAAAATTACTTACTGAAATTTCGATGCCAGTATACGGTAATAAAAATTTAAGATAATACTTTAAATTAAGATAAATTTCTTTTTCAGAACTGAAAAGTAAAAATTTTTCGATGAAATTAGATTCATAAAGTGTGCGATTATGGCAAAGCCTCGAGGGCTATCTGCTTAAGGGGAGGGATGCCTTCGTGGAAGACTTTCTAAGGGAAACTGGATCGTATACACTTTACAACGAAAACGCCCATGCAGCCAGCCCATTCGCGGGATTCGAACCTAACTACCAGTTTTCAGCGACTTTACCGCTCGGCCGATGGTGGGTCCTAGATTAATAAAGAATAATGTTCTTTTGTAACATAAACTAATTCCAAACTCCTAGCAGACTGGGAGCGAATTATCGCTGCGTCAGAAATTAACAAAAGAATCTTGAGAAAGTTTTAAAACAAAACTTTTAATTAAATCAGAACTGGAATATAAATGCACATCTCGTGGTTGACAAATCAATCAATGACAAATCAATCTTGGTGATAAATTTTTCCGGGAATGCAAAAGAACCATAATAGCATGATCTGTGTAAACATTTACTGCTGATTTCCCCAAATAAATTCGAAATGTATGAACCGCCATAACAGCATTTTACTTTCTGAACATTCCGTTCACTTGGGTTAAGTTTCTTACTAAAATATGCCGTGGCTTGCTGTCTTGAATAAGCACGGCTCCCATCGTAAAATATGATGCATCTTCAGAAATTTCTGCCCCGTTGGCTTCAGGGAATTTGAATATTGCGCTTGCATCAATACAGTTTTTAATCTTTCGAACCGGTGTTTACTTCGGCCGACCAGGTAAGCGTGGTTTTCTTTCTTTTTAAGACTAATAATGGCTCAGCAGTATGGGTAAAATCATCGATAAACGTCCTACGAGAGGAACACAAACCCACACAGGAGGCTCAAGTCTTAGCTGTATTAAAGTGGAGGGTAATTTGTTATTGCAACTATTTTGGACTCTTCGTTCTTGATTCCTTTCAGAGCTAACTTATATCCCAAGGAATAATGTTCTTTGACCGCAGTTTGCATTTGAGCTAAAAAAATGTAAAATTTCAATTTTTTTAACCCTTCTTCTTTCAGAAACGAAAATACTTCCCGTAAATTTCGAATATATTCGCCTGTAGTCTCTCTGGTTATAATTATAACATCTGGCCCTCTGAAACATGGCAGGTTCTGAGTATAAGCCAAATAGCACTCTCAAGAAGTTACAACCTGACTTTCTAATACCTGTAATTACAACCTTTGTAATAAATGCGGTTTTTTTATCCTCTGCTTTCGCACATATTTGAAAATACCCAATAATTAATTGCAAAACGCCGCCCTTTATAATCCGTTGGTGGGAGATTAGGCTTCTTTAGGCCCAGTGTTACCGTACTAGCTGTTTATGAGAATTATAATTGTATTTTTTTACATCTCTTGAAAGTGTTTTTCAATTATTTCTTTATTAACTTTATCGTACAGGTTGAACATTGCTCTCTACAAGAGGGGATACTTACTGTGTCTATGCTGCTGTTTACGATTTGCCGTTCTTAACTGGTCCATCTTCATTTTTTTTCTGGCTTCAGATCTTTGAAGTCTGCGGCTGGAGGTCTTTCTCTTCCATTTTACTCATGTTAGGTTGCATCATCGCTTAATTAAAATTAATTTTAGCCCCCACTGCTTTTAGAAACATCCCTTCCAAAAATTACAGGTGCTTGAAGATTTTTCATTATAGCAGCAAGAAAAAACACTTTTGGGTTCTTAGTTTTCACCTCTACATTAAATGTTACCTTCCCTATATCTTGACATTTTTTGCCTTGGGTGGCAATAACCCTCTTTCCGCCAATGCCAAACACTCTGCACAGTTTAAGATTCTTTCTAAAACTGTTTAGCAAAAAAGCTATTTTGCGTCTTTGTATCCAACAATGCTTCCGTTGGTACATTGTTTAATAGAATTTCAATGGCTGACAGGGCCAATTTTTTATTCTCACGCTATCCAAATGAATCCGAGAGGATTGAGAGGATTTTGAGGGATGAGAGGGATTTTTCATTATCCTGGGTCGCTCTAGGGGTACTGAAACACCCTCTGTATTTCAGTTATTCCCTTGTTAGTTTAAATTCTTGCAAACTTTCCAGTATTTTTTCTCTTTTGTGGTCTATCTTGGCGATCGTCATTCTCTGGTGAAAATTTATTTCTAATCTCAAAACGTTTGCGCCACCAATCCATGGCCTTCTTTCCACTACAGATCTAAGAAAATATTCATTTGACCTGTGGCCATATTCTGACTTATGTGTAACTTCCACCATCCTCCTATTTTGAAACTTTACCACGGGCTCAAATAAGTCCTCGATCGTTCTCTGGTTTCTCGATTAAATAGTCCTGGATTTGGGGTGACAACTTAGGCAGTATAATTTGGATAACCTCTGTATCGGTTTCTTCAAATGCAATAATTTTACCAGTTATATTTTTTCAACGTAAACTCAGCCAGTTCCTGGACATTTATTTGGTATATACTAAACAATTCCTCCTCTAATGTTTCTCCATCTTTCCCTGCGGGAAATGATTTTACAAGGACGGCTTTAAATACGTTGAACTTATAACGCTCGCTGGCTAATCCTCGAGATAAAAGTTTACCGATACATTTGTACCAGTTCAGTACCTGTTCTTGGAATGTGGTGGTTGCTATGGTGATCCTTTGTATTTCCGCAACTGGATAAAAGCTAGAAATGCGAATTTCATTGTTCAAGAAAGGTTATTACAAAAGTTCTGCTATAAAACAGAGCTTATGGCTTCATTGAAGCACGCATTTTATCTACGATGAATCAAAATCCTTCCATGGGGTTTTTTTGGTTCCAGTGGAGGCTGCTATGTTGGGGTCCAGACAAAAATTCAATTCTGTTTATCTATAGTCCGAGATTTTGTTCGGCAGCCAAAATACAGTTTGGTGTTCTTTAGTAACATAAACTAATTCCAAAGCAGACTGGGAGCGAATTATCGCTGCGTCTGAAGGTAACGACTGAATCTTGCGAAA